AATCATATCAAGCAGTTTGTACAATTGCTGCCACAAGCAGTTTCCAAACATTCTCATCCTTCTTGGACTCCTCTACCCCTCTTCCCTACTGTGCCCCTCAGGAACCCTGATTCTACTTGCTGTCTCTCTAGTCCCATCAGTCCTGGGCTTCATAGCCCGAAAAACAGGAAACCATAACAAAATTTCAAGAGGGCCACTCCTCCAATGACATAATACATCAGAGACAAACCCCAATACGGAGAGAAACACACACACACACACACACACAGAGAGAAAATTTTGAAAACCAGAGCAGGCCCTACGTGTATCAGAGGGGGATCGAGGGACAAGGTTTGAACCGTTCAAACCAGGTTTCTCATTTTGACCTCCTCTGGTCATCTCTCCAATGCACTGTTTGGTAGCCTGTTTAGTCCACCTCCCTCCGTTATGGATAGAGGGAAATCACGGGAGGCTTGTTTTCTGTGTAGATTCCACAAAGGTCTCTGGGACCTTCCCTCTCATCCATAGCCTTCTGCAAACCACAACCTCACAATTTAGGCTCTGATACCCTTCCCTCCTTCCTTCCTTCCTTCCCTCCTTCCTTCCGCTTCAGATTATATGATTTACAATCCTTGGCTCACAGATGTTGGTGTGCTTCTTCCATGTGGACTTAGTTGACATCTCACTTAGGTGGCTGCTTATTTGGAAACAAGCCCTTAAGACCCCAGGTACTATTTTATCGGATAGCCAGGCACCATCTAATTTCTTCACCACGCTTTGCTATAGTAACCATGTCGTCTGTGTTCCCTTCCTGAGGGCAAGTATGGAGCACAGACTGGGTTCTGCAGGGTAGCTCGGGTGTCAAGCGCTGTGTCCTGGTTCAGGACCAGGACCACTCGCCCGTCTCACATTCATAAGGTGTCATTCCTGCAGCTGTGGCCGAGGGAGACCATAACACCAACGTGCAATCGCGCTGTGCCTTTGGAAGAAAGGAGTTATTGTGTCCCCTCTTATTTATCTATTTATTTGGGGGCTCAAAAACCAGAAAGAGACATTTAAACCCGATCCATCTAGGGCAGTAGTCATCAGGATCAAAAGACAGAAGGTGATTGAAGCATTTCGTAAGCGGTAAAGTGAAGGAAAGAGGTTGTTCACAGTAACGGGCCAGCAGCCAATTACAGGGCACAGACTCGGCTCCTCTGTCAGCAGAGATGCTCACGTTGGCATGGTTTTCAGTGGGCCTTCTGGACGAAGATGGACAGGGAGCGGGGGGAGTCCATCCACTTTTGAGAATGAGCTGATTAAAATCTATGCATCGCTTTGGTCTGATCTGTCGCTGGTTATGGGCCTGGTGCAGGACTGGGCAGCATTAGGGTCTGTTGCCCAAGGGGTCACCGTTAGCTGTGGGGCTCACGCCATGGTTGCCAACAGCAGCCCATTAGGATAGCATGGAGCACTATAGCATGTCGTCCTTTCCTACGGAACGTGAGCAGGATTTTGGAAAGAAAAGGTGGGTGGGGAGACTGAGGCACCGCTCGGGATGTCTAGTTCTTGAGTCAGCGGTGCCAGGGAATGCTGAAATTGTGGGAGCAGAGCCCGAGGGCTCGGTCGCCTTCAGTTCATCAGGGTGCCACTCCTCGCTGCCCTTCCATCTGTTTAACCCCTTCTGACTCCGTTTCCCTTATCTCCCTTGGACCACTGATTCCCATGACCATCCGCTCCCTTGCCCCTTGTCCCATCCACACGTGCAGCTGAAGCTTCATCTGAGACCCTTCTCCTGGTCCACCTCCTCACCCAGGGCTGTTGAACAAGGCTGGAGAAAATCCCACGGCCTCTTTAGATTCACTGTCTCCGATCTCCACCGAGGTTTCAACACCGCCTCCGCCCCCACCCACAACGTCCGGCAACGCATCCACTGCATCTTGTCAACATCTTGGACCCTCCAGCAGCACTGCCTAATCTTCACCACTCTCCACAGCCACCCGCCACTGGCCCACCCCCTGCATTCTCCACACATGAGCTCACCTGCTACTGCAAAGGGACCCGAGGCCAGCTGGTAGGGACAGCCTGGACTTCCTGCCCCAGACCTCCAGCTGCAGTCTTCCTCTGATTTGGCTTCCTGCTACAGGCTCAGCCACCCCTCCCTCCTCATCTGGCCACCCCCATGTCGCTCCTACTCTGCACCGTCTTGCCTACCTCCGCACTTTCCCCTCCTCCTGGCACTGCCTCTCTCTCTCTTCTCTCTCTCTCTCTCTTTCTCCCCAAATCCAGGCATTTTCTAACACCCCTCTCCGATGTCCCCAGTGGAGACAGTAACACCTGCCTTGCAAGTGACCTTTGAGGACA